ATGCCACATAGCAATTTCATAAGGGTAGACAAAGACCACTTTCACCCTAGTAATAAGGGACCACATATATGCCCTGTGGTGAGGGCCCAAATTCAAAATGAATTAGTCCAAGATGCCACTGAATTCATCTCCAATGGCAGGGTTCAGAGCATAGTCATATATTAAATTATGACCACTTTAACCCCAATGATAAGGGACCACATATATGCCCTCTAGTGAGGGCCCAAATTCAAAATGGACTAATCCAAGATGCCATCGTATTCATCCCCAATGGCAGGGTCCAAAGTGTAGTCCTATATTATTAGAATATAACAGATACATCAATTCACACATGAGTCTCACAAAGGAATTTATCATAGGAATAACAACATAGCTAAATAAAGAATAACAACTTAAAAAACAGGTTATTGTTTCTTTTAAGGAATAACAATATGTCAAATATCGGTGATTCACAAAAGTCAACTAAAAAACATCACCTAGATTCCGAATTCATAATATTCACATACTTGGATCCCAATTCAAATAAACAAAAACAAATATGTAACCAAGAATTTATTTGTTAATTTACTTAATTGTTGACAAAAGAAGAAAAGAGAAAAAAAAACATATATAACTGGAAGATGAAAAGTCACTTACCCAACATGCTAAGTCCAAAGTACCAATACAAGTGAGTCATGGTATATCCAAAAGCCTATAAATCAAAGAATAATTGTCACCACCAACTTCAAAACTTATATTCATAAATTTGTGGTGTGAAAACTGTAAACTTATTGTATCAGTCTACCTAAATCTTTGGTAGTTTATTAGCTTAGGTCCTGAGACTCTTAGATTTCCATATTTGTTATGTTCAAGGATCCAAATCTTAAGACTTGTAACTTCCAGTTCAAAATTCCGTTTCACAAATATGATATATCGTCATGAAAGTCTCACAGCCCATTACAATTTAAATATTACTCCCGTCTAAAGAGATCAATGGATGGCCCTTTCTTGGTAATCTAAAATTGGTTGGTCACTAGAATTTTCTCGGGTTCCCAGATTTGGGCAGATTTAAGATATCAACTTTAAAAATCCATAACTTTTAGTACAAAAATCCATAACTTCTCGGGTTCACGAAATGCAATTTAGAGCCAAAATATAGTACAAAACGTCACAAAAATGCCGATTTTCAGCAGTCTAAAGTTGGCTGACGTCCTTTGTGTTTCAATATGAATTTTATCCTAGCTTTCCACCTACATATCCAAAAGACACAATTGAATTCATTGGGTTCCTAATATCAAGAAATCTCTATTAAAACTAACTTTAATATTGGCGATTATCTGAAAATGATCATCCAGAAAAAAAATTCTAATTTTAAGTTTAATACACAAGAAAATGAAAAACGAAAATCCAAGGGAGAAAAAGACTTACCTAAAGAGCGGTTTAATGCCAAAAATCACTAAGATAAATCCCCAACTTGATTCTCCAATGATGATTATCTTCACCTTCTCTTAGCTCTAAAAAGATAAAAAAAAAAGGAGAAAAGAGTTCTTTCATTAGCTAAAGAAACTAGGTTTTCTTTTCTAAACACATTTTTCCCTTTTTGCTGTGAAGTCCCCCCTTAAAAGAAATTCCAAACAGCCCCCCTCCTAGAACGCCCACTCTCCCAATATTAACCTTAGTGGTTTTTTTTTGGGTATTACACCTACCAATTGAGCCACCCCTTAGTTTGGCGTCATGGTTCAAAGTATAGATACATGTGATACACAAAAATTGCATATTATGTGATTCAAAAGGACGATATTCTTACTAAAATGTTTCGAGAATTGAACCACAACATCTCTAGGAAGAGAATTAACCTTTGGCAAATGTCCTAAATTCCCTTATTGATCGTTCTAGGGGTGTTCTACAATGTGAATTATTTTTCTTGTTGCTGGTTCCGAAAACAAATCAAAACCATCTTCCATCTTATTTGAAAATAGATTATTTTTTAAAACAAAAACATAAAAAAACATGTTATCTTGATTGTGTGTGCTTCTTGTTTTCAAAACTAAAAAAAAAAAGTTCTTAAATTTGGTTTGAAAAACGTGTTTTCATTTGATTATTCAGCATCATGTTTCATAAATCATATAATTTATATGCTAGAAAACTTGTTTTTGTTTTAAAAAACTAATATTTTTTTTTTGTTCCAAAAACATATATTGTTTTTTGAAACAAAACCAACTTGTTTTTTCCTTTAAAAACAAAAACAGAGTTCAAGAAATTTTTTTAGTTTTTTTTTCTCATGTAACAATTCCAAAAACAAATGAAAACAAAAACAGTCATATTGTAGAACACCCCCTTGGTGGATCTGAAAACCCATGCATACTACACAATATACATATCGACAATGCACACTGATATGTTGAGATATTTTGAATCTTGCCTCTAACATGAGAAAGAACCAATTCTAGAGCCACTAGCAGCAGAGGTCATGGCAGAACACACTTCGAGAAATCAGAGAAGTCCGGCAGCAATTGTGTTCAAGAAAACTTTTGGCTATCCATGTGGGGAGAGAAATGTGGTATTTTAAAAGGACCCCTATCCATATCTCAAAGTGATTACTATGACTTGTGAAATAAATGACTTGATTAGGAGAGGCATGTTTGTCTACAATCCAAATCCTAATGTTCTCAACCCATGGTTAAGCAGATAATTTGACTTGTCACCAAGCCAGATTTCTAGGTCTTTTTAGCCCATGAGCAATTTTTTTTGAAAGTCACTCATGAGCAATTTACTTGCAAAAATACTTTGACTAGTTAATAATCCATTTATTGGACTGCTTAAACTGTTGAGCCATTTGACTTAGTGAGCAAGTCATGGTTCAGGCATTAATTCTTTTTTTTTCCTGTTTTCCTTTGTAATTTTAGGCTGCATTTGGCATTCCTTATTTTAAGGATTTATCTCCTTTTTGTGGTTAAAATGCCCCTATGGACACTGGGTTTTTAACTGCAAAAAGGAGATAAGTCCTTAAAATAAGGAATGCCAAATACAACCTTTAACCATTTCAATCATTAATACCAATAATACTCATTTGTCACACTTATTTTCCTTTTTTGTAACTTTCTAGAGTATGAGCTTGTCTTACACTACTGGTTCAAAGCCCGGATAACGGAGGAAGGTTGCATTAGGTTGGAAAACGACACTAAAACTTTTGCTAAACCTTCATGAATGCCATTTAGGTTAAAAGGAAAATCCTATTAAATGGTTGTAATGTCAATATGTTATATAAAATAGAGTGTTGGACAATAAAGAAACAACATATTTAGAAAATGAGTGTAGTAGAAATGCAAATGGTAAGATAATTAAATGATTAAAAAAACTAGAAAGGATGGGATCAGGAATGAAGTTATCTATAGAAACCTAAGAATAGTTCCACTAAGTGATAAAATGAAAAAGAATAGGTTAAGATAGTTTGGTCAAGTGCATAGAAAACCACCAACAACTCTAGTACGAAGAAGTGATTTGTTACAAGTGAATAAATTAACAATGGTTTGGCCAAGTGCATAAAAAGGACATGGATATCTAGAAGTAGTGAGAATTGATTTAAGCACTAATAAATTAACAATGGATATGATTTTAAATAGAACAGATTGATGAAATGGGATTCATATAGCCGACCCCATATATAGTTGGGATAAGGCATGGATGATGATGATTTTTATTATTTGATTTATAACCTTATAGATTAACCTGTTTGACCCAAATGGCTGAACCACTGACTGTGATTATGGCACAGTTCCGTTTACCAGTGTGTTTTTTACAAAAAAACCGACTCGGAGAACGAATCTCTCAGGGGTCTGGTTCCCGGGTCAAACGGTCCAACCATTCGAACAAACGGTCGGCCTATTCTGACAAAAAAATAAAAAAATAAAAAACGATTAAAACCGTTCGAACAGTTAACCACCTGGGTCAGTAGTTTGTTGACCAAAATCAACAGTTTTTGAGAAAAATCTAATTTTGGAGAAAAACAGAACCAGTCACCTGATCTGTTCCCAGTTTTTCCGGTCCGACCGTCTGGTCCTGTTTTGAAAACCATGGTTTTTTAAGCCACATGATTCTCATCGGCCCTCAGCTCATTTTGTTTCCTTGGTTTTCCTTGTTTTATAAAAGCTTCGTCTATGTGCCAAATGTCTCTTGGATCTCATTCAATTGCTCACCATTAGCCCAATAGTCGTCCACATTAATTGGCTTAGACTTGCCAAATGGAAAGAAAGTAACAGTAGAAACAGGTTCAGCCATATTGAGCACCACCACAACATTGACATGACAAAAGCATGTAGCAGCAGGATTCAGAATAAGCATTGTCTAAAAGTCCAAACAAATAAACCGGCATCCTTTTTTCTCCTGCTGCTTTAAATTGGAACATACTCCAAAAGGCATCCGATGCAATTCATTCTACTGATCCACTTATACAGTGACTGAAATATTTTCTTACTGCTCAAACCAGTTTGAACTTTGAAATTGATAAGAATCAAATGCCCCTTCTCACATGCTTATAGGACTCTATTTACGAGTTGAAAATCATTGCTCTTCTCTCCTCACCATGTCATCCACCGGACTATCCTTAGGTTATGTATGGTTTGATAGAAATTAAGAGAGAAACAGAAAGTTGAGGGAACTTTAGCAAAAATCCTTCAAACTTTATCTCAACTTTCTGTTTTTCTCTTATTTTCTATCAAACTAAACACAACCTCAATCATAATTAATGTTTCCATCCCAAATTTCATAGTTCTCAATGTGTCAGTGATCCATCTCAATATCCTTATCTAATATGATGAGTGAAGAAATGAATAATGAATGTGAGCAAAAATCCCCAACCAGCAAATATAGTAGATATTAATATACATCTAAATTACAAAGTAATTCACAATAGTTGTTGAAGTTGAAAAAGATAAAAGGTGTGAAGCTGAAGAAAAAGATAATATTATGAAACCCAATACATGAGATATTTATAATGTCAACATTTTTTTAAAGCCGCAAAGGATCTCAAAAAAAATGTTATAAAGCAACTATAAGGATATGCATTTCTTTCGCCCATATATCTGTTTACAGGATCATATTGAATGCATTTGCAAGAAAGAAGATGTCAAGAGTACGCTAAAGAAGTGAGGGGGGATACAGGCATCAGCCTTTCCTACTCTCTACTACTATGAAGTTATTAAAAAAGAAAGACAAACAAAAGAATGTTATCTCTAGTCATAATCAATACAGAAAACTTGATAAAGCACATCAAAGATGATGCACATAAATTCCTCTCTGAGGACAAAATCATCAGCAGATAACCCAAGCTTCCAAGTAAAAAAGGTATTTGTTTCATTTCGTTTCTATGCTCGAGATGGATTCTAGGTAAAGAAAACAAAACTAATGCATCTTATACCTAAATGGGAAAAGACAGAATAAAAATTGTCCAATCCAAAGTTCAAGGGGAGAGATATTCTCTAGTCAGCCAGTTTGGTTAAACGGTGAATGGTACTTCTTGCAATCCTGTTAGCAGGGTCGATCTTCAGAACTGTCCTCAAGTCTTCTGCCCCGAGTTTGTATTTTTCAGTGCTCTCATACAGGAGTGCACGTTGTATTAGAACAGAAACATTTTCCCTATCATGTTCTAGCACCTGTAAAACAAAAATGTAGTTAGTATGATTTACCCACCTCAGCAAAACATTTTTGCTATCATTTCTTAAAGCAGTGTCACGGCCATACAACCACTTTGTTCACTAATGGAAATAGTAGATAGCTGAAATTAAGTTGTTTAAAAGTTTCAAAGAAGCCTATCAGTAAGAGAGCAAGGAACCTCAAGATTTTCTGATTTCATCTAATTAACTTGATTATTGGCCATCCAAGAATTATAGCCCAAACAGAGAGTTCTTACATGTAGAAAATGAGACAATGTCCATACCTTTGAGCAATCAACGACTGCTTTCTTGTACTCCCCAACTTCTTTGTAGCATGAAGCTCTGCACGACAAAACCTCCATGGTGGCAGCACTGTCCCCAGTCTTCTCTAGAAGAGCTACTGCCCAAGACAGCCACTTAATGGCATCAGGAAACTGCCCCTGCTTGTAATTATCCAATCCCTTCTGCTTTGCAGCCAAAGCTGTAACTCCAGCAGGTGGGGGTGGGAGACCTTCAAGCTCTGTTGTACTACCCGCATCACCTCCTCCAAACTCTGAACCCAAGCCCCAGTCATCAACATCAGAAAATGGTTGATTTTCGACACCCTCAAGTGCTGTTGGAGCTGCAGAAGTGGAATTTGAAGATGATGGGAATAAGACATTAAACGGATCATCGCTGGTGGCTTGAGGAGGCTGCTTCTTCTGAGAAGCAAATCCTTGCCTGGGAATGCCATAATTATCAAAATTCGATGTAGAACCAGAGCTTGACCCCATGGAGTTATTACTGGTTGCAGGAAAAGCAGTGGGCGGGAACGAGTGGCTGTTTGATTTGGAAGCACGTTGGAAATCTCCAAATGAACAGTCGCTGGCACAAGAATCGGTATGGCTGCTTGCGGTTGCGGTTGAATTGATGTTTTCAGTCGGCTTAGACCCAAAATCCACCAAAGATGCAAATGGGTCATTATTGGAGCTTGCAGGGGCTCCATCTCCACTTCTAATCGCTGTCTGGTTATTATAATTCATACCGTTGATGATGTTATTCTTGTTGTACTGATTGCTAGCGGTAGAATAACTACCGAAATTGTCAGCAGATCCCAAATTGGTATTCCTCATGGGAGCATTGGCTTTGGGAAGCGAATCGGCCATGCTCCCCATCGAGAAAGATTTCTTCGTCTGTGCGGTTGTGGGCGCTGCTGCATTCTTCAAAGAAACATTAGTATTGCTCTTGGCCTGCCCGAAAGCCGAACCAACGAGATCTCCGAACAAATTAGGATTCTTTTCCTGTAATCCTAATCCTAAACAGGAGGTAGGACCTGAAGAAGGGGCGGTGGAAGCCCAACTCTTTCCGAAGATATCTCCCACCATGGAAGTAGTTGAGTTGGACAGAGTTGAGGAAGGCTGGTGAGTCCATGAAGGTTTGTTTGGGGCCCACGAAGAGGGTTGTCTGGGCTGCGTGGACGACGACCAGGCAGTAGTCGTAGCAGAAGAAGAGGAAGAAGGAAAAGAATAAGAAGATGTGTACTGTTGCTTCTGATCGTTTAGAGATCGAGGGCGATTGCTGGAGGGTTCAGAACTCGGACCGAAATCGAATTGGTAGTTGTTGAGAGAAACCGATCCTCCTTGCGGATTACTGGGTCTTCCGAAGTTAGAATTCATGGTTCGCTCCGCCAGTCCGGTAGATAGATCTGAGACGGAGAGACGAAAGCTAGATATCCAAAATCAAAACGCCATAGAAGTTTTATCGTGGAGAGTTGCAGAGGATGGTGGAAGAGAGAAGAAGCAAATGGGAGAGACGGTAGAGGGTAACCCCTACCTCGGACTCAATGAAATGAGATGTGGCTGGACGAGATAGCTAGTGATCCGGGAAGAGAGAAAAGCTTGCCAATGCTTGGTCGGGCCTGTTTGATGCCGAACACCACGCGGGGCTTCTCTCTTCTTTTTCTTCTTCTTCTTCTTCTTCTTCTTCGTCTTCTTAATTCCTCAACTATATGAAACGTCAGATCATAAGGCTTTTATCTACCTACAACTGTAAATGATTCAAACTTCGTATCCACTCACTTTGGTATGGTACGACAGCTGCTGGTACAATTTACACCAAATCTCAGATATGCTTTTTCATAATCAGAAATTGACACATCAGCAACTGTATACCAAATCATAAACTGACGTGTTTATTTTTCATTTAGGTTGTGTTGGATTGCATGACACATCAGCCGAACTCCTTGTGGACGGGACCTTTTAATTTTTATTTTGTTCTCGTTCATGAGACATGCGGATATTCATTCCAACGTGGATGGTACGGCCACGATATATTCTAAACAACGACCGTTCATTTTCAATTAATACTGCAACTTCGGCCAGGTTAGCCCGCCGGATCGAGTTAGGGTTATGATTGAGATTTATGAATCCGAATTTACTTCGGGTTAGGTTAGAGTTGACCCTTTGGTAATTTGATTCAACCCAAATTCAAATTTATAGTACATATTATATATAAATATATGTTATATATATTGATCATACATTGATTTTTTTAGATGCATAATAGTTATATAACCACTACCACACATTATCATTTATTTCATTTAATATAATCACTTCACTTAATTCTAATGGAAATACTAAAATCTTGATAACATATTTTATGTTTTCTGAATATTTTATTCTTTATTTCCTCTTTGTTGTTTGCCACCCATATCTTGCTACCCATAAAAGATCTATTATAAGTCATCATAATAAACTATAGTCATTTCAAACACTTTTTTTTTCTGAATTTTGTATTTAAAGAACTAATAAAAACATCAACAAACAAATACAAATAAAACATAGGATTAATACATGTAATGAAAGTTGAGTTAAGATCTAAGATTAAGAAGTTCTACAAGATTTTTAGGGATGAGAAGAAGGTAGGGTTGGGCCCAACCCGAGCCCAGTCCAACCCGAAGGTGACTTTGGGTTGGCATGGATTGGGTAAGGAATTTAGTTAGGGTTAGGGTTAGGGTTGGGTAGATCGGATTGAAGGTTGGGTTGGGGGTTTAGAACTTAGGGTTGGGCTAGGGTTGGCCTCAACCCGACCTAATCCAGCCCGACTTGCAGCCCTATTTTCAATATATCGTCTAAAATGCCATTCATTCGATTTGTCAAGGTTTTTAAGTTTATTTTTATTTTGATTTTATTTTATCTATATATTATTTTATTTGTAAAATAATTTTAATGTTTAAAGATAGTATTATGATAATTTTTAACATTGAACCATCTTCATTATTTTTTATTAATAAAAAAATATTTAAAGATAAAAGAGTAATTTCTTTTAAATTATTTTTATTACCTTTTTTGTTAATAAAATGATTTTCTATTATTAGATAAATTCATATTCTATACATTTTGTTCTCTAATATTTGACATATCCATTAAATACATACTGTTGTTTTATTTTATCTATTACTATTTTATATTATTTTTTAATTTATTTTGGACTTAAAATATAAGAAATTTTCATCATAATTGATTGTATAAATTATCTCATAAGTTGTATGTGAAGTGTATGAAATCAATCTTTTTTATGGTTATTTTATTTTATCCATTACTATTTTATATTATTTTTTAATTTATTTTGGAGTTAAAATATAAGAAATTTTCATTCATAATTGATTGTATAAATTATCTCATAAATTGTATGTGAAATGTATAGAATCAATCTTTTTGGTATTTGGTGTTATGCACCATTAATAACTTCCCCCTGACCCCTTTTTCCCTAAAGTGCTGGTTGTGGGATTTGATTATGTATCAACGCTAGAACATAAGGTTTTTAAAACTGAACCAGACAACGAACCGTTCAGGGGCCTAGTTCCCAGGTCGAACGACCCGACCATTTGAATTGAATGAACAACCCGTTCTAACAAAAAATTATAAATGGCCAAAAACCGTTGAACGATTTGATTGCTCGGGTCAGCGGTTTGCTGACCAAATCAATAGTTTTTGGCCAAAAGACGGTTTTGGGGTAAAATGGAACTAGTCATGTGACCAGTTCCGAGTTTTTCTGGTTCGATCGTCTAGTCCGGTTGGTTTATGGAATCAATCCACATCATACTTGTAGAACACCCCCTTAGGCTGCGTTTGTTGATATTTTGTACTCTAAGAAGAAAGCATTAACGTACCTATTTTTTTATACAATTTTGTGCTCTTCATAATTTTGCCTTTTGACCAAAGTTTAAGGAATTAGAGCATTTAATGATGGGGCCCACACTTTGCACCAATTTCAAACAAGATGAGTACAAAAAATGGTTTAAAAATGTGAACCGAATTTGCATTCATGAACCGAAAAGAAAGTAATTATGTAGAGTACATATTTGTGTTTGCATCGCAACCAAACGTAGCTTTAGGTATACAATTTGAATCCACACATTTTGTCCATAGTTTAGAATAGTTATACATATCACTATGATGTGGATTGATCCTTACACCAATTTCGAAACCACATTAAAACACCCCTTAGTTTACTAGCAATTGGTATACATATTTCTTTGCAATTTGGGTTGAGTCCAAATGTACTAATCACATAATTTCAGGTTGCCACTTGTACAAAAGAATGTGGCATGTACGGGGATGGGTATTAAGTAGGAATGACAATGGGGCAGGTTTGGAGCGGGGCATCCCCCCATCCCCGCCCCGAAGTCACGATACCTTGCCCCATACCCGCCCCGTCCCCGGTGGCGAGGTGGGGCATCCATTCCCCATCGGGGACGGGGAATCCCCGAATTTTCCCTGCTCCAAGGCAATTACTTAAAAAATATCTATTTTATGGACAATTTATACATAGGATATAGGAATTTGGGGGTATTTTAGAATTGAATTATAATGCTTTAGGGGTAATTCAAAAATAAAATTATGGGATCCTAGGATTTTAAAAATTTAGGGAAAACTTAGAGATATTTTAAATATCAATATTAAACGTAGAGATATTTTACTAATTTACCTTCGGGTTCGGGGTGAGTTTGGGGAATTATATACAAAACCCGTCCTCGCCCCGTACCTGGTTCAGGGAAAAAATTATTTTCCCCGTCCCTGCCTCGTCCTTGTTTAGGGTCGGGGAAAACCTGCTCCGTTCGGGGTGGGGCGGGTAACCGATTTTACGGGGGAAATTACCATCCCTAGTATTAAGCCTTTCATCAGTTAGCTCCCAAAAATAAATTTCATTTCAGTTATAAAAATACCTTTCCTCCCATCTTCTTCTCAGAACAATATTCATTGCTTGAAACCCTATTTAGGGCCTATTTGGTTCGCAGTTAGAATTGGAATCTAAATCGAAATAACAAAATCCTTTGGAATTAGAATCAAAATGGTCTATCACGATAATCTGTTTGGTTTAGACAAAGGTTCAAAATACTAATATGCCTGGTATGCTGGTAGGGGCATATTGGGTGAATCGATACTATTTTTTTTACTTTTTTTTTTATTTTTTCTTAAACCGGTTCAGGGGGCCGGTTTAGGGCTCCTCCACCCCTTGAATTGGTCAGACTCCCGATACACCCACTATAGGGGCGTATCAAAGGGGTCCTGGAATGATACGTATTGATACGGGCCGATACGTGTCGATACTTTGAACCTTGCTATGAGAATGGGATTTGAAATCAGTAGGAATGAGATTTCATTCCCAAGGGAGGGGTGTGGAATGGCCATTCCCTCAAATGGGGGAATGCCATTGTAGCAGAAATGGGAATGGATTCCAATTTCGCTCAACCAAACAGTTGGAACCGAAATAGCCCATTTTGATTTTAGACCCCTATTCCCGGGAGCCAAACGGGGCCTTAACCTCTTTTCCCTCCCTTTCTTGTTCTAGCCTTATCTTCTCGGGGCTTGTTTAGTTCATAGGAATAGGGGACCAGAATCAGAATCGGAATGGGCCATCCTGATTCCAACTGTTTGGTTGGGTAGATTCAGAATTCTATTCACATTCTTGCTGAAATGACATTCCCCTTAAATGGTCATTCCCTCCCCCTCCTCTGGGAATGAAATTCCATTCCAACTAATTACAACTCCCATTCTAATTTCTGTCTAAACCAAATAAGTGAGAGAAACATTCCAATTCCAATAGTAAACCAAACGAACCCTCATTTTGGAACCCGATTATTCCCAATATTATCAACTACTGTCGTGCTGCTATCATTGGCACTTACTACAGGTGAGTCTCTTAACAGAAATGATTTTCTGCTCTCTTGGTCGAATTGAGTAATAAGGTGCTCTTTTTTTCTTGAGAATAAACTACAATGCATAATAAACCAGAAATATAAAAAACAAGCAAGTCCTCCACAAACGCTGGAGGCTCATGCCAAATACAAGGATTAACGAAACGACAAGAAGCCCTAGCTAAGCTGTGGGCCACGGTGTTAGCTTTCCTTTTCACACAAGCCACCGAGAAGTTTACACCTTGCTGTAACAACGAGGAACACTCATGAACGAGGGAGCCAAATTCGGACAAGTCCGAAGTTGGAGCATGAAGGGCTTTCCATACTACCAAGGCATCAGTTTCAAAAACCACATTCTGGATATCCATGCTGGTCACCCATTTAATTGCTGCTATATGGGCCATTACTTCCCCTTCTTTTGAAACGAATAGACCAAGAACTGTGGACGTGTAACCTTTCACGAAAGCACCAAGTTCATCACGTATAACTATCCCAAACCTAGTGAGGTTACTGCTCGTGAAAGAGGCAGCATCAACATTACATTTGAAGGAACTAGGAGGGGGGGGGGGCACGCCAATTACCGTCACCTTGATGGTTAAGATTAATGACCATGCCCAACCGCTTTTGTATTTGAGCTTGCTTCCAATCATGGAGAAGCTGCAAAACAGCATGATTAGGCAGCTTAAAATTATTCCTCCACAACTTGGAGTTACGTTGAGACCAGATGTTCCACAAAACCATGCAAGCACATCCGGACTTGTCATAATCAATTTCTACTAAAAACTCAAGAAGACAATCAGCAAAAGA